ATAAGGGCAGCTTCAAAATAAACATATGTTTGTCAAATCTTTGCAACTTTAAAGGGCCTGGTGCCGAGTGCTTAAATGTTGTCAATGCTTGGTGAGCAGTACTGGGCTGTCCTGCACAATTCTGACAATCCCTGCGGCTCCTCTAGGTGTTTTCCCTATGACTAGGAATGCCTTTGTTCCAATTTTCTTAAAATCTGATCGTGAAATGACAGCTGAGTTGCTTCTTACAAACCAGATCAATGTCTCAGGTAAGAGAGGCTGGATACTGGCGATGTGGGATTTTTTACCTGCAATGATGGTGACAAATGTGTTGTCAGAAGCTACCTTTAATGCTTGACACTTCTTAGTAGATTTCAACTGTAATAGAGAAGCCACACAGAATTATTATATTTATCTCMGATAGAGGTTAGAGGAAGAAAAGCACAGGTTTGGTCACATGTTCAGTGCTTTATTTGTGTACAGCAAGTATAGGTGATGCGGCCTAATAAGGCTTTGAAATTCTAGATCATTGAAACAGGGATGGCAGATAGAAAAAAAAAAAAAGTTTGGTTACTTCAAATAATTACTGCCTTCTGGAATCTAYAATTGTGATTTACCAGAGAATAAGCTTTCTCCAATAAGTGTATTACAGTAGCTTCCAATTTCTACCACTATTTTTATTCAGTTCTTATTGGCTGGTAAGTTCTAGGTTTTCACTTGGATTGCATTTGTGCGTGTGGATGACAAAAGAGGTGACCCTACCAGAGGGCTTCATAGCCCCTGTACAAATGCTTGGAAAAAACTCCGTTACAGAGTTAGCTGGGGCTGTCTTGTGGTTGCCTTAGCTGTTTTTTCCTGCCTCCTGCCATTTCCTTCTGTTTATGTGTCTTTATTTTGGTCTTCTATCTCTCCGTCTATGACAGATGGTGGGAGACTTRGAAAAATGGTATAAGTTCACTTAAAATAAATAAATAAAACTAAAGGTTGATGTTATTGCCTGTATGACCTCTCCCTCAAACACCTGCAGCTCTAAACAGGAAGGCAATTTAAACTTTGTTTCCTTTGCTTTCTGGATGAAAAAAATACTGAACATGCACATGAAAAATATGTTTGTTATTGATTTGTTGTTTTTCTTGTCAGGAAGTTTATGATTTAGATGTTTTGACTTCTGTACATGCTTCTCCAACACTATTTCAGATTTTGACAGGCTAACAGGAGCCTGAACTTAAATGTGGTGAGAAGTGCAGCAGTACCTGAAATATAGATAAGCCTGACTCCTGTCCAGGAAAAATGGCAGGCTTTGCTTTGCTAGCCTTGGGAACGTGCATGCTTGCTGCTACATTTTCTACTTTTGTTCTGATTAAAAGCTGTGAAATTTCACRCAGTCTCTTCATTTTCTCTTCATTGCTTAAAATGCATACGTTTTCTTCTGATTTCCTTCCTCTTTCCCCAAAGTACCGGTCCTCACTCTTTGGGCTGTCTTCAGGAACTAGGAGTGGCTTTTGGAAACTCCTCCTGTCGCAGGCAGGTTGAAAGGCTCTAAGATGCTGTTTTGCTCCTGTTTGCCCTGGCGAACAGAGTATTTTTTTCCTTCCTCCCTCTTGGAGAGCTCTGTTTTTGCCATAGGGCGCCCAGGCCCTTGGCAGTTTAATGTCACCTTGGCTTTGAAGGCTAATGCCGTAGGCTGGGAGGCAGGAGATCCGTAATTAGGTCACTCCGGGGCACTGGGCAGAAATGCYCCTGGGAAGGTCTTGGGCTCAGCAGCTTTGATCCACTCTCTGAAAGTGGAAACCCAAAGTGCTGGAAGCCCTTGTGTCTCTCAGATCCGAGCAGACAAACTAGTCAAGAAAATAGCACTTTTTTTTTTTCTTGTTCAATAATCRCTTWCAGTTCTATRTAATATTTACTGACAAAGGGTRTATTTCAGCTGCAGGTTTTGATTTCTTTGGGGCTAATTTTAAGAAAAAAGAACTTGGGAAAAGAATACTAATAAAATTCTGAGAAAATGAGACATTGTGGACTTGTCAAAAGTTTCTAGGATTTGCACAGTAGTGCTATATCTTTGTATGTATGCATATGTATTCATAAGTGTAATAAGTGTGTATATTTAAATAAACTTGTCTAAATACATTTGTGTGCTGTGGTTATGAAGAGGTATTTGTGTTGTATATTAATATATTAGTGCAAAAGTCTACATTTTAAGTACCTAGCTTGTCTTTAAAAGGAAACTAAACTGCATAATACTTTTACATTCAAATAAATCTTTTGTTTTCACTGCTTTTATCCTTGATGCTATTCAGAAAAATGTTACCTGGATTACTTTTATCTTTTGTTSATGGAAAATGATAATTTTAAATGCCTGTATGTAAACCTCATAATTTCTGATTTGCTGCAGCAAAAGCAGTCTAAGATCATATGATAAATACATACATAAACTTCCTGAATATGAACATGGAAAGAAATTTCTTGAACTTTTTTTTAACACTTTTTTTGCCTTTTTTTTTTTTTTGAGTGAATGAAGTTATGAATTTCAGAAACTTTGCTATTACAGGTAGCACCGATTGCAAATGCAGATGAGTCTGCAGAATCGGAAGGGATAATTGATTCTCAGAAACGTAGGGAAATACTTTCAAGAAGACCTTCCTACCGGTAAGAATTGCTTGTTTTTGAGGGCTTTGTTGGTTTTTAAAGGTAGCTTATAGATACTAGTTTTGTCTTATAAATAACTTCAGAGATATTTCAAATTTTGTGTCGCTTCTGTTTTAGGAAAATTTTGAACGAGCTTTCTTCAGATGCTCCTGCCGTCCCGAAAATCGAAGAAGAAAAGTCCGAAGAGGAAGGAGCCCTTTCCGGCATCCCTGCAATGGCCGTGCCGACCAGCCTCTATCAGACTAGCACAGGGCAATACAGTATGTTTGCAAAGATACTGTGCARTGCTGCACTACATGTGTAGGAACTGTCTTGTTTCAAAAAAAAAAATCATAATGCAGTAGAGGTGTTTGATGAAGAAGAAGGAGAGCTCTGCATTTCTAAATAATTTTGTTTGTTTTATATACATTTGATTTCTCTTAACGTGGGCATGACAGACTTTGAGTCTGTTTTTTTGTTAATGTTTGTTGATTGTTAATTTTTTAGTCTCGTTGATACAGCATTATCTTTACACAAATGTTCAGTGTTATAAATTACAGCAATTCCATATGACTGTGATTATTGATGTTACACAAATTAGCTGTTAGGGAGCTTTCATAAAGTATAAGGTTGGAGTTGTCTTTTTTTTTGCCTTTTTACTTTGAATTTGCTTTTTGTAAATGCCCCATCTCTTTTCTTCTCCACTGTCCAAGTAAGGGTAGAGTATGAACCTTTTTCTACTTCAAATTTGCTTTCTATAATGGATCATACTTTTGTTGGGTTGTCGTCTAAGGGATTATCATGGGAGGGTTAATTTCCAGTATCTTTTTTTTCTAAGTTTGTAGTGAATAAAACCTCAGTTTTAGTGTGATATTTCATGTCCACATGTATAGATTTACTGAAAAGTAGATATTATTTCTGTAGTATAATGACAGGAAAATTGTAACRGGATTGTTTTCTGGAACACTTTTGGGAATACAGGAAGTCTACTAACTAACAATGGGATATAGAAGAGGCTGGAATGGCTCTCTACAGGTTATACTGTAGTCACTATGTGAGCTTTTCTGAGTTATTTTTAGCTTGTCCAACCAGAGCCCAATTATCAGCTTTGAGAAAGCAAACATTGTGTATGGCATTATCCACCCTTCTGCATACAACCTGTTGTGGCTTCCTAAACTGCTTTTCTTACGGTTTCRCTAAGCTGTGGACGTAAATAAATGTCTACGTCACGATGTCAAGTATTTCAAGTGCTCTTTTCCCCCGACTGCTTGATGGTTTTCCAGTCCACAGGCTAAAACATGTGCTGTGAACTTAGGACAATTTAATCTATAAATACCAATTTAATAAATTCTCTTCAGTGTTCGGTAATTAGGCTCTGCTTCAAGGTGCAGTATCAGCCTTGATAGGCCTTGCTGATTCTGACTTACAAGCTTTGTTTCCAGAGCCTTGTCTTCCTGGAAGTGTCTTTATTACCTAATTTATTAGCTCATTAATTTGCTGTTTTCTTAGCTCACCTGTCTAAGTTAAAATGCCACATACCCTTTGCTGCATTTTTTTCTTTATTACCTATATTTATGGTTAGGAAAAATTCCATCAAAATGTCTCTTAGGGTGCTGTTCCTTTGTTGTTCCAAAGTTGGCTTTGAGGTTGGATCCAGGCTGCAGCAGGGATGGGCATCTACTGCTGGGCATTAGTAAAGGACCTGACTCCAGACTTGCAGTCCTGAGCACTGAGCAGCCTCGTGTCGGAAGGCAGGATGTGCTGGTCCAGGAATGCGGCATCCCGTGGGTTGGGTTCTGTGTGGATACGGGGCAGGCCGCTGCCCCTGCCTTTGCTCTGTCCTGTGGAGGGCTCAGCTCCGGTTATCCTGGCCATTCCCAAGTGTCCCTGTTCCCGGGCAGCACCGCGTGGGGCAGCTTGTGTAGCAGGCTAAGCACGAAGCCCCTTCAGATGCCCGTGGCCACGGAGAGTTGGTCACTGCAGCGCGGCCGTGGTGTAGAACGGGGCTCACATGCTCCTGGGCTTGCTAATTGCTTGTTTTCTCTCTCATATTGTGCACCACGGGCTATATGGAAATAGGTTGGTATTTGAAAAGATCATCTTGACCTCGCAGCCTCTGAGAGGCTGGCATAACTATTTTGGGGAGAACTTGATAAGTAAAATTACCTGACAAAAGACATTTTCTTTTCCTATTAGCAGCAATTTTAACTATTACTCACATTCTTTTTGCCAGCCGAGATGGCCCGTTGCCATGGCTCTTCAGAACGTCTTTTTTTCTCAGAGTTTTGGCGTATGGGAGCAGGCAGACTGATGGACGTCATCAGCTAGATGAGATGTTTTTTCCAGTTACTTTCACCAACCTTTCTATCTGTTGACCTTTCAGTAACAGGAGTTGATAGTTTGTCATAGGGCAAGTCTTACAAGCTGTGTAACCTGAGCTGACTGCCAAACTGCTCTGCCTGTGGCTTTGTYGTGCAGGTTATCGAGCACAGGAGAATTGCTTTGCCTGCTCCGTGGGGATGCTCTGAGCACGCGAGGGCTGTTTGTGCTGCCGACACGTGTGAATCATCCCCTGCCTTTTTTTCGCCTGCTTGTGCTTATCGTGATGTCCTTTCTGAAACAGTGTACGGGAAATTAATACTTGCTTTACATAAAGAGCATCTTGGCCATCTGTTTGGATTGCTTGCTCTCTTAGGGCAGTTTTTAAAAACTGGAGGCAGTTTTTAAAAACTGGAGAATTAAGAAATCCTTTTGGGAAAGGTCAGATTTAGGTGTTTTTCCCAGTTGTGGAAAGGAAGGAAAGATCTGAACTGTTTTTCTCCATTATAGCTGTTGATCATGCTTGGAGAACGACATTAATAGCATCACTAGTCTAGGAAGCTAGGAGATAAAACACCACTTACGTCTGCCTGTGTGACGGAGAAGTCAGGGATTGTCAGGAAGAATCCTGTGCTCTTCACAGGAGTCGCAGTTTCCAGTGGGGCTGGATGGCATCAAACGTCTGCACAGGGGCTGAGACTGGGAGTAGCAGGGTGGGGAGGCCATGGGGGTCACTCCTGCAGGAGGGAGGGAGCTGCAGGAGCTGCTTTGTTGCTGCTTGGAGGGCACTGGGTTGTGCTCCGAGGGAACCGGCGCTGCTGCCGCCGGTGCTGTGGGGCTCCCGGCCTCCTGTGAGTCTCCACTGAGGTTTTCCTGCCTCGGTGCCCACCTGGCATCATCTCCCGCGGGCGCTGCGGCCCTGCGACCGCCTGGGCTGCAGCGCCCGGCTGTGCCCGGCTGTGCCCGGCTGTGCCCGGCCGCTTCCCATGCAGACCAGAGGTGCTGCGGGCTGCTCTGCTGCTGCTGGGAACCCACTGCTGGGAGCCCACTGCCAGCCTGCATGTCGCGGGCGAGAGAGGAAGGGCTGGGGGCGTTTCTTAGTTCTCCCTCCTCCGCCCACTCTCCAAGTGAGGCCTTTGGTCCGTCGGAGGCCAGACAAGCAGCCTCTTACTCCATTTTTCCCAGTGCTTTATGGAACTTGTGAGCAGCGCACAGCTAGTTCCCATGCGGTGAACTACATCATCCTACATGATGCTACTCCAAGCATGGAGCTGGAGGTCACAGTGATCAGCGGTGCACATGGGCCTCAGTGCTGCATCCAGGGTGCTGCTTGAGAGAAATTTACTTATTTATTATTTATTTTAAAAAGAAAAAGCTAGTTTAGTTGCTGGTAATTGTCCACTTCTTTTTAAAAAAAAAAAGAATAAAAACCAAACCCAAAAACTCCACTTTGAGAATATTACCTAAGACTCTAGTAATTATTTAGTATTTTCTAGTTTGCTAATAACACTTGGCAAATCCTACTTCAGTGCTCTTTTGCATTTCAATATACAGTTTTGAGACTCTTTTGTTCAGAGTCTTTCTCCAAAATTCGTTTGGGTCTTACAAATACTTACGACAGGGGTTGCTTCAAGAATATCAGCAAATATGTGAACCTGGCAGAAACTGAAAGAACTGGCAATCCTGAACGTGYACTTACCTGACTTCAACTATCTTGAGCTGTTTTAAATGCAATGATAATGATTGTGGCTTAAGTATCTTCTGGGGGAGAAAAACGTTGGTTAATTCTTGGGAGCTGGATTCTCTCTTGAAAGCTACAGGAGTGTATTTATGCACTTGACAAGGACAGTGCTCATTTTAAAAGCAGTTAATGAACCTCTCTAGGGAATTTGATTTTTGTCTAAGTAATTATGATCAATCCTGAGATTGCATGATATGAATTGTTAGGCGTTAGTTGTTGGCCTAAACTTACTCCCTAACTAAGAAGAGAATGTGAATTGTGCTTCCCTTGTCCAGATGTCTCTTTAAGGAAGTTTATAAAATGAAATTAAACTTTCTTTTTTTGGTGTTTGAAACCACMAGATTCTCTGTTAGACTGATAGAAGCTATCAGTCTTTTTCTTTTAATTTTCTTGCATTAAAACTATTTACAGACCATTAATTATCTATGGAGGAAGCAAGAACATGTGTGAAACGTTGCATTTTCTATCGGACACAAGTGACATGTATTAAGCAACAGGTTTTGTGTCTATGCACGTCTGAATTGGCCTTAAACATTTTATGGAACAGCTGCCCTCTAAGCATAGAGATGGCCAGGAGTCCTTCCTGACAAGGTGTATTTAAAAAAGGGTCCTGTGCTTTAGCATGTTATGGATCTTCTTCAACTGCCTGATCTCTCTTTCCCTTTTCTGCCTAGTCGCGATAGCTCAAGGAGGCGCAATCCAGATTTCCAGTCCGGCCTCCGACGGCGTCCAGGGGCTGCAGGCGCTAACGATGACCAACTCGGGAGCCCCGCAGCCCGGCGCCACCATCGTGCAGTACGCAGCCCAGTCGCCCGACGGCACGCAGCAGTTCTTCGTTCCTGGAAGCCAAGTTGTTGTCCAAGGTACATCTTACGAGTTTACTGTATCTTAGATTTTTTTTTAGTTTTATATATATAATATATATATATTTATATATATATATAATATAAAAAACGCCTTTCCCAAAGGGCATTTTGTCTTATTATTGCAGTATTAAGTATCTGTGCATATAAGATGACAGATAATTAGCCTTAGGAGGAGATGGAGTTTCTGCACTCGGTAAAGCAGCTATTTCTTTYGATTAAAAAAAAACTATGAAGAGGAAATGACAGGATGAAATCACCGTCTGCTTTGAATTCTCGTGTCCAGGCCTTGTAAGACATGTTTAATTGCAGTAAAGGTGCTGTTAACAGTTTAAACTAAGATGCTGAGGCTGCGTAATTCCATCTCATTTAGTATATTAAACAAATTTGATTTTTCAGCAGTTTATCAGTGTTCATGTAACAAAAGTTCGGAAGTTATTTGAGACATTATAAGGAAATATTTTGGGCAAAATTTCCTTCCAAATTATGACTCTTGCAGTTATTAGGAAGGAGACACGAGATCCTTGCTTGAAGCTGGTCTTTATGCAGAAGAGATCTGTAAAGCCCCGTAACAATGTGTACACATGAGCTGAACTGTGGATGCCCATTTCTTAAATCCTGTTATAGATTATGCAGAGGTTTTTTTCCTTCCTCTGCTGAGACAAATCAAGAGCCAAAGGTATCTTGAATCCTTATCAGGACAAGGGAAAGTAAGGCAGGGATTACAGTTACACTGAGGAAGGCCATGGAGAATGGGAAAAAGATTTCTGCTTGGAGACACTAAATCAATAGCTACCATAAAGGATAGGATAAAAGTGTTTGCTTATTTCTGTATATTTATTTATTTATTCTTGTCAATGCAGAGAAGTACAGTGGAAGGCCTGGATAAAGGCTCTTTCGTAAGCCAAAATGGCTGTTTTAAATGCACTTTGAAAACACCTCAGAGGCCTTAGCCTGTGTATTTATGGAGGGGGTGAGAGTCCTGGACTAAATGTAGACACAGGTGTGTGAGCTAGTTGGTAGGTTCCAGGTTGAGGCTTAGTTTGCCATAAGGCAGGTATTTGAGATAGATTCTGTCTTAAAGGGCCTGTTTCTCAGTTTGCTGTGAAGGAAACCCAAGTAGGAAACTAAGACCGGGAGATTAGAAGATATTCGAACTTCTGGAGACAATGCTAAATAATTGTACCACACTTCAGTTTTTCTATTGCCTCTAATTAATTCTTTGCTGAAATACATTATCTTCTTCAGAGTTCTTGGAGATATTTCAAAGAAGCTGCAGGAGTATGATGTGAAAAGCTCTAAACCAAAAAGAGTTTCCATCAGGCAGGGAATACAGTCAGGGCATTAAGTGAAACAAGGTTTCYTGCAGCCTCCCCAGCCTGGCAGGAAGCACAATCCCTGGAGAGCCTGGCAACTTTTCCAGGGATGGTGCCTGACTGGCCCTGCTTCRCGCCCTCCTCGCACAGGGCTCCCGGGCTGCCCTCTGCCCCCTCCTCAGCAGCTCTGCTGTGTGGTGGGTTACGGTGAAAACTCTCAAAATGTATTTGGAGACAGTGGCTGAGTAGCTGCTGTCTCTTGTTTCTGGAAGTGCCTAGGTACCTTGCTGAGTTGTTGTTGTTGTTGTTGTTGTTGTTGTTGTTCTCTGTCCGTGCTCTGAGAAGTTGTCCATGTCTGGGAATCTGAATTCTCTTGGGGGGTTCTCTCTGTTGCTTTGGCCCAAACAAAGTGTTCATAGTTGTTGAGTTGTTGACATAGAAGAAATGTGTTGTATAAAGCAAAGTAAATAGTAAGTGGAAAAAACTTGGAGATAATAAAATGTAGCATTTCAACTAAATAATTGTTCTTTTGATAATAAAAAATCCCTTGAAAAGAGTCTTTTTTTTTTTTTTTTTTTTTTTTTTTTTTTTTTTTTTTTTTTTAAGGGAATGCACCTAAAAATGTTTCTCTGCAAGCAGAGTTGGAGCAGATCCCTTTTGAGTGAGACAATAGAATTAACTGGAATCACAAATCTCTAAATCCTTATTAGAGATTGGGTCATCTGAATGGATGTGTTAGAAAGCCTGTAAGAAGATAGGTGTGATTTGTGTACACTTCAYAGTTAACTGTACACCTCATGTCACGATCGCACAGATTTAATTAGAAAAGCAACATTCTCAGTAGCCTTTCCACCTTTATAAGGAGCATATAAGCTTTTTTATAATCCTAGACGTAAAACAAAAACAAAAAAAGTTAGCAAATATTAGACCTAGGCTAGAAGAAATCTTTCTCAGAAATTTCAGATAGCATTTTATATGTATTTATATTTTTCTGAAGTATTTGCTGGTGAATCTTGGGGAGCAAGGGATGGCCTCATAGAAACCCATGCTTACTATTCTTGATAACTTCTGGTAGGAGGAAGGGTTAATATAAAAATGTACCTAATGACAGATCACTCAGTTGGATCAGCAAGTTTATATTTATAGGCAAAATAAGAGGCAGTTTTGATACCCTGATAGTATCCTAATGCAGAGTAAGGGCTTTTTTTACTAGCTCTAGAAAAAGGAAGAATGTTTAAATATTATGGGAAATGACTGTATAGAAATTCTATCCAAATCRCTGTGTTGGGATCCGTGTGTGTTTGCGCAGCGCAGGAGGGAGGTGAGCAGAGATTTCAGAGCCCCGTGGCTCTGCCTGCTCCGTGCTTGGGCTCTGCTCTGCGCGAGCAGCACCGGAGCGCCACCGGAGCCCTTTCCTCGCGCTCTTGCCTCCCTTACTGCTTCGCTGGCAGCGTTTCCAGCGGGTGAAGTACCGGGCTAAATTAGTTTATGCAAGCAAAGGCTGTAGCTGCTGTTTACGGGGCTGCACATGCCCAGCAGTGCCTGTCTGCTGGTCTGCATCGGGTTTCACTTAGGGTGGYGTAAATCAGGAGTAACTCCCTTAAACTGAAGTTGTTCTTTTGAGCAGGTTGAGTAGATTTTGAAGGGTTTRTTTGTTTTCTTCTTTTCTTCCTTCTGTTTTCCCTCTTCCAGAATAAGTGAGGCAACTCTCTTGGATTTGTCCTGGAAAAGGAGGGGAAAGGGGAGAGGTCGCCCTTGCCCAGGGCTGCTGCTCTGCCTGCTGTGTAATGTGAAGCCAGTGGCCCTTGACTGTCCTACTGCTTGCTTTCCAGGAGCTTCAGCCTGTAGGACTTTCTTTAGGTATATAGGTCTAACAAACCTGTTTGTTAGAGCTTATTGCAGAGCTTTGCCTTTTACTGGAGCTGCTGCAAAGATATTGCTGTTTTAATCACAGAATCACAGAATGGTTAAGGTTGGAAGGGACCCCTAGAGATTATCTAGTGCAACCCTCCTGCTCTAGCAGGGGCAAGCCATGATTTTAATGCATGATTTTATGATTTTGCACTCCGATGCCTTCCYGAGTCTTGGAGTCACTTTGTAGTTGGTGTCAGTCAGTGCTGTGGGTCTCCAGGCGTGACCGTGCGGGCAGCCCTGGCTGCAGGAATGATGGGGTGGGAAAGCCCGGAGCTGCAGAGAGTCCCGAGGAGAGGGCGCGGGGAGGAGGGAGCCGCTGACGGCGGGTGAGGTCACGGTGATGTCAGCGGCGCCGCCGGGAGCAGAGCGCGGCGCCCGGCCCACGGCCACACTGCCCGCGCGCGCCCGGCCCACGGCGGCACTGCCCGCGCCCGCGCGCCCGCCATGGCCGTCACGGGCGACGAGACAGGTAAAGCCGCGGAGCGCGGGAGCCTCCTTAGCGGCGCGGGGCGCGGGAGCTGCCCCACGGCGGGCTGCGCGCCGCCGGGCTGGGYGCTGGCGGCTTCTGAACTTGTTGCGGTCGCTCTGTCCTCGCCGACAGCCGGCAGAAATGGGTTTGAGTGTCACTGCTGTAGTATCAGTGCAATTCCAGCAGTTCTCACTGCTACAGCTGGCAACTTCTTGAGCAAATTGATTCAGATAACTAACCTTTACTGCTTGATGCAGGATTCTGCTGAAAAATCCGTGAGTTTTCTTTTAAATCCTTGTTCTTTTCTTGTGGAGAGATAGGTTGTTATGTTTATAATTATGCCTTTTTTTTTTCCTAAAACAAAAAAGATGCTGCTTTTAGGTTAAGCAGTAAACACTTGAGATTTGATATGCTTAAACAGACTTAAGGGTAGTCATAAGAGGAAAGGTGGGCATTGCTTTATTAATATAAAGAAATCCTTATGCTTTCATTGCTGAAGAAAATGGTGAATGCAAACAGCTTTGAAAGAGCAATAAAGCAGAGTGTTGTAATGCCTGCTTGTTTTCTCCCACTGTTAAAATGGTCTGTTCCTCAGCTAATTGAGTTCAAAAGGCTGACGTCATTAGATTTCCTGGAATCGGGTTGCAGTAGGGAACTGGAAAAGTTAAACTCCAAACAAGATACACATTGACGTCAACTCCAAGTCATGCTGTGATTTAGTCAGTTCCTTTCTGCTTCGTCAATCCCCTCCGGCAGATCTGCAGCGTTCGCTGGCTCCTCGCCGCCCGCTTATTGCTCTTTCCTATTTTTTCATTAATCCAAAGATAAGTAGCCCAAGTCCAGGTTTTGTGATGTTTTATGCTCAAAGGAATCATGATTCATGCCTTGCTTAGCCAGTCTAGTAGTGAAGTTTAAAGCCTTCTGATAAGCCAGCCCCCTGATGACTCACAGGAGGGAATAAATGCACYAGCACAGAGCAGGATCAGATTTTTTCCCTCAGCTCCTGGAAGGATGCAAGTGCTGCAGTGCTCTCTAGTGTTCAGCAAGCTCTTTTCCCCGAGAACCTGCTCGTACAAGGTGGAGTGTTTCTCTCCTGTTCTACTCCTGTTGTTCATTTCTCTGAGCATGATTTGCAGAGGTAGTTGTGCTCCTGGATTTAGCTCTCTGAGGGATTTCTTTTTTCTTGTTAATTTTCATTTTGTAAGTCTGGACTCAAAATTTTGGGGTGAGTTTTTACTCTTTCACAGTTTYAATGAGAAATAGAGTAACTGGCCTCGGGGTGCTGAGCTGGGGGGAATCCACCGTGGCCCCGTTTGCTGGGATTCGCAGTGTCCCTCGCGTGTTGGCTGCAGACCCGGTGCGCCGCGAAGCACAAACCACCRTAGCTGCCGTGGAAGTCACAGAGGCTTCCAGATGTGCCTGAGGGCACCAACAGGCTGCCCCCGGAGCCGGGGGCAGTTCCCAGCTTCGGGAGCAGCCACGGGCTGGGATTCCAGGCCTGTCAGCGCTGGCWGGGCAGCCTCTGTCTCTGGCTGGATCCTGAGCTGCAGGGGTCGTTTGCCTCAGCAAAGGGGTGCGTTAGGGCACTACAGCACTACGATGGTTGGTTTTTACTAGTAGGATTTTTATTTTTTTATGGAGTATCCTTTCTGTGAAATTCTGTTTCATTTCTAGCAATGTATTTTTTTTTTTCTAGGGAAACAGCATTTTATTGTAAATTTAGAGGTATTATATAACTCTTTTTTTTTTCAGAATTAGTAATAATTCACACTAATGTCATTTAATTGTGTTATATTAAGTGCTTCATTGTAGAACAGAAGATGCTTAGCCATAATWTAACAGCTATATCTGGGTTAGCTAGACTTGCAGGAGCAAAACAGTTATTTGTGTCTCCCATTTCCCTTCTGGATGGACAAGTGAGGCAGTTGTTAGGCAGGCTGGAGCTGTTGTTAGGATGGATGCTACGGGAAGGAGGCCGAACGCTTGTTCCCGCGCGCGGCTCCTTGGAGCGGTGCCGGGGCCGCAGCCGGTGCAGGGCCCTGCGGGATGAGGCCGCCCGGGGCGCCAGGCGCCCGCGAGTGCGAGTCACGTGCAGGCGGCCAAGTACAAGGTGCACCCGGGCAGCGGTGACCCTCTGTTCCCCAGCTTGATCTATACACTGGGGTGATTTACATTGGCTTCTCATTTGTTAATGCAAGCGAAGGAAACTTTTATTTTAACTGGAAAGAGACAGAAGAAGATCATTCTTGCTGTAAAGTCTATAAATGTAGGTCATTTGATATAAAGACGAGGCTAAAGAATTTCTGATGCTCCAGTTTTACAAATAGCGGGCAGATGTACTGTCCCACCGAGGTGCGGGGGCTGCCAGAGGAGTGCTCGGAAYGGAGGGCTAAGGGGCTCCGTGGTGCGTGTGCGAGAAGGGCAAGGGTCAGCTAGGGCTGAGCCTCGAGCGTCCTGCAAGGCCTTCATCCACCCACATCCTCCTCCAGGATCATCCCTAACCTGGGCCGGCGCCAGGGTCCGGGTCCCCTCGTAATTCCATGTGCRCTTCTACCCGCAGCGGGGAGAGGGCAGAGCTGCAAAGTGCTTAAGCAGTTGGTGATTTCGGAACACGCGTCTGCAGAGAGCTGCAGTCTGACACAATRGTCTGATCCTGTTTCTTCAGTGTAATTCAGTGTAGTAGCTGCATGAAATTGTCTCAAAGAAAAGTGTGAGTAGTAATATACTACCTAGTTTAGGATTTGGGGTTTTCTTCTCCTGTAGGTAACTTTTGGCTCTYTATTGCTTTGTTTATCAGCCTCACAGTAGTGCTTCTGTCTGTATTTTATCTTTCTAGTTTTTTTCCATTATTTGAGTATTGCRCTAAAGAATTGTGGTACAAATTATGTATAACAAAACAGACACTGAAATTTGATCTTTTACGTCTAGTTGCTTTAATGGAGGAACTTGCACATTGTTTTGCAATAATATGAAATATTTATGGAAAATAATAGGCAAGTACTTGCTTATAATTTTAATCTGGATGCATTTTTAATTTGAATTTTCTATGTCAGAAAGACTTGCATGTTCTTCTTTAGGACTTGCACTTTATTTGAAAGCTGAGGATACATCTCTTGGGAACAAAGTATCCTAGAAATAAATGTAGAAACAAARTGAGAGCAGCAGAAGTTACTGTTCCCAGATTACACTGTCAGACTTCAAATCTGCATTTAACTTGGGAAAGCCAAAACAGGCCGGCTTAGGAGCCGAGTGTGGATATTTGGACTCCCCTTCGCTGTGTGGCCACAAACCCCTTCCTTGCAAGAGCCGCCCTCTCCCTTTGGCTGCCAACGCAGCAGCAGCCCTTGGAGGGCCGTGGTGGCACGACCAGCACGAGCCCCTTTCTGTGCAAGCAGGAGAGAAGTGCCTGGGTGTTTGACAGTGTTTCCCGAACAGCTTCACAGGCTTCGTGTGGCTGGTGGGTTGCAGGCTAGAGCAGGGCATGGGCTTTATTCTACAGAGTGGAAATAAAAGCTTAGGAGATGCCAAATGGGATGCTACAGAGCTGCGAGGTGCTTTGTTCCAGGCCTCCYGCACGGGGCATGGTCAGGAGTCTGGTATTTGCAGGGCGCCGTGGGGCGGTTTGCGCGGTTCTCTCCTCGCGCTAACGTTGCCCTTGCTGTGCCGCAGCTGCCACCGGGGACATGCCGGCCTACCAGCTCCGCACGCCGGCCACGGCCCTGCCGCAGGGGGTGGTGATGGCCGCGTCGCCCGGCGCCCTGCACAGCCCCCAGCAGCTGGCCGAGGAGGCCACGCGCAAGAGGGAGCTGCGCCTCATGAAGAACAGGTAAGAGCAGCCCGGCAGCCGCGCCACCTCTGCAAAAACCCCCCCAAACCCCACATCTGGTCAAGATTGCTCCCTAAAGTCATGAGCCATTGCCTGTGGCTGAGGAAGGGAATGCAAGAAATTCCTGCTGTGTTGCCAGTCGTGCCACATTCTTCCATCACTGGTAAGCGGTGGCTGCTAATCGAGTTAGAGCTCTGCTCACATCTGATGAGCTCAGCTGGGCTCATCTCTGTGGATTTTTGCTTCTGGAATACTGTCATAATTCAAGAATCAGTATTAGTTTTGTCCATTATGGTTCATCTTTCAGATTATGTAGAGAGAGAGACTTATTGCTGGAGAAATGTTTTCGCTTGATAGTAAATGACCAGCATGGGATCTCGTTGGCAACTGTCTGTTAATGATGCTCTCAAGAAGACTTATCCTAGAATGGAATGATTGTTACGGAAATCCCTAAATAGCTGGCCTCTGGGATAGTTTACTGTGACTTGATTTAAAAAGCTGTGTCATTTACACCTCACAGTGTGTGAGGCGGTGATGTATTTCCTAATGAGTTGCATGGATTTTACTGTTTGCAGTAGACATCTGTCTTTTGCTGTGCTTTTTCTGACTGTTCTTAGAGGGCTTCTGCTTTTTAAATGYGAAGCTGCTGGCAGCAGTGGGGGTCCAACTCCTGCCTTCCAGGAGAAATAGTGCGCTATGCAGATACACTGACTAACCCCTTGCCTTGTGACTGAGTCCATGGCATTGCTTTGCTCTCATGCCTGTCCTTACTTTCAATGGCTCGAAGAACTGCTGTGTTGTTCTGCCTCTGTTCTAGTTTTCCCTCTATCCAGTTTTAACACTGGCTGCTGTCGCATGTTGCCAAATCCCATCTCACAACCTGGCAGTTCATGTTTCAAACGTTAAGGGAGAGGAGCCTGTTCCACACAGGCCAAGCCAATACATTATCCCTTCCTCACCGTTTTCCTTGCTTCATTTGTGTATTGATTCCATTGCCTCCATCCCTGTCATTTAGTGCTGAATTTGTTTTTTCAGTTGTTCAAAATCTGTTGCTTAACCCTGTTATTGCCAGTGGCTGTTCCYTGCTGTTCTGTCTGTGTGATCCAACAGCTGGTGGTGGTTGTCAGTACTGTGGAGCCGTAGGGTTGCAGGTAATTTCGTTTTGCCAGTGCTTGCCGTGTTGTGGCTGTTCCTGTAGTCATTTGCCTTGTATTGGTTCCAGGGAAGCTGCCAGAGAATGTCGCAGAAAGAAGAAGGAATATGTCAAATGTCTTGAAAATCGTGTGGCTGTGCTTGAAAACCAAAACAAGACTCTCATTGAGGAACTCAAGGCCCTCAAAGATCTTTATTGCCATAAAGCAGARTAACTGTCTTTCATTTGGACCTTGTTTGTTACGAACTTTAACCAAGGCATGAGAGGAAGCAATTCTACAGATTGCCATGTGAACTTGCGAGAGAGACACTTGAGGCCCTTGTGGAATCCAGTTTTGCTTAGTGTTTTCAGAGTGATTCGGGAGATGTTCCAAAATTTGGAATTCAGTCGTAGTCTCCATACTCTGCTGAGCTGTCTAGTAGCATGCAAATGGCTTTTTTGTTCGCACTTTTTACTTCTGCTTTTTGCAGGGAAGCTGCTAAAGAATGTCGCCGTCGGAAGAAAGAATACATAAAATGTCTGGAGAGTCGTGTTGCAGTGCTAGAAGTTCAGAACAAGAAACTTATAGAGGAGCTTGAAACCCTAAAAGACATTTGCTCTTCCAAAACAGATTAGCAGAAATATTTATTTTACTGTGAACTGACTAACATGTGTCCGGTTACTTTATAAGGCAATACATAGCCAACATGAATTATGGCTTTTCTCTTTGTGTCATTTATATTATATTCCAACTTCTAACATTCCTGAAAGGCTTTCCTGTTTTTTGTCAATTCTTAGCTCTGATTTCAGGTTTTCCATGCTGCTCTCATCCACCTCCCAAGGAGCCAAATGCTGAAATGTGTAACGAGGTTAAGAAGCGCATCATTTCTACGAGCTATTTCCTTGCCATATATCCACATTACTACTTTTTACATGTTACTGATAGCGTCCTGCACATACAGAATATTTTACAGTTGTTTTAAGTGAATCATAAAGATAATGCATCCAGTAATACACAAAAATCAAACTATTTAAGGTATCTCAGGAAAGAGTTTATAAAAGAATGTTATGATTACATGTATGTATTAGAATACTAGTCTACAAATGATTTTATGGCATATTTTTATATTAGTTGCTTTGTGGAAAAAGTATTGTATTGCTGTCACAGAGTGCCATGGTTGAAGATAGTTTTTAATAGAACCATGTTGTTTAACCTGCGTAGTGTCTGGTTTCATTTAAACATCTGTTTATTTGAGATGCTTTAAGACCTATGAGAGCCTGGAAGGGGAGGGAGGAAAAGAAAACATACTTCAACTCCTTGACATATTGCTGAGTATATTGCAAATACTTGAAAAAAGCTTTCTGCCAAATCCTGCTATTTACTTGAATTTTCTGTAGCCTGTGAGATATTTGATATATTAGAGATTTATTTATCAAAATATAATTTTAAATACTGAATATTTCTTATTCTAGATTCTGAACAACTGTAGGCAGTTATCTGTAGTGAAGGATGATCATGTAGACCTTTCCTTTCGGAAAAGTGTTGAAAGTAAATAAAGGTTGTTTAAAGAAGGAAACTTTCCAATAAACAGTAAATATTTGCTGATTCCCAGAATTTCAGAATAAACTGCAGGTGAGAGCTGCAGATATTTAAGAATAACCCCCTGCTTAAACCAAGTTTACAGTTCTGGTAAGTTCATCAAGTGCCAACTTTCCATTGTGCTTTGAAGAACAGTACTGCATATCCAAGATTGCTCCTGGTTGTTTCTGCAGTTCGGGAATGGCCTGGGTGAGTGGTGGCCCCTGCAGACTGTGAGCAGAGTGACTGGGAGCTTTGCTGTGAGCAGCAACACCCATGAGTTGGTGAGAAAGACTTGGTTCCTGCTTAGGTGGCTTTACAAGGTAAGAAGGAAAAAAAGATGGAATCCTGCCCTCACTGAAGGTATTAACACTTCGTCACTTGATATGAACTGATTTCTTTTTTTTTAATCTGCTCTGTTGTTTTCCCAAATTATTTGAAATAACRTAAGTTTTCAGATTGCTTTTGAAAAGCCCACGGGGTACTTGAGTGAGGCCATATTCTTAGGAAGAGCTTGTCTCTGCTCTCCCTTCCTACAGCTACCTCAGATGGTTTAAAAAGTGGCACGTCCGAGTGCTGCAGTCTTTATAAAAGTGCAGCAGTAACGTCCACAATTGCTTGTTGTGGCTGTCACTAGAATCTGTTTTCTGTTACAGGTCGGCACTTCTCCTTGCTCTCCAAGAAACTTGAAACTAAGTGGAAAGAAACATGGGTGCAGGGTGGATGCCCGCCCAGTACAAATTTATTTTATGATTTCATTTTCTCTGTCATATCTGGTATTATTATAGATAGAAATTTTGATACATGGCATCCTGGTTTGTTCTGTATCTGTGCAGTCTGCATATCTTTGCTGGTGCTTATTCAAGATTTAATTAACGTCTGTCTTTTCAGAGTGGGGATGGGGAAAAAAATTAAATTCAAATGTTCCAAGATTGTTTGGTCATTCTGGAAAACTCCATTTCCTACACTTACCTGCAGCAAGGAAAAGCATCCTGCTTCAGAATATCYGCTGGCTCATTTAGACTAAGACTAGGAAAAAAGAAATGTTTATGACAAAGAAGAAATGTTTCGTGATAATGTGGCTTGGTATGGAATTACTGTTGACATAACTAGTAAAACACATTTTTATGTTTAAGAAGGAGTGAGTTCAAGTAGGAACTAGGCACAAGGCTGGTGAGTTAGAACCAAAGTGCATCTTGTGGTGAAGGAAATAACTTTGCTGAAGTGAGCAAAGGGTGCTCGACATAAATGCCAAGAGACTGTTATTAAATTGATACTGGAAAGTATCAGTTACAAGTATAATAGTAAATATGTAATAATATATAGTAAATCCAGTATAATAGTAAATCCRGTTCTGAAATGCTTTGGGAGATGTACATGGAAAACTTTGTGAGAGTTTCACTGAGATGAAATGAAAATTAGGAGGAGACCTCAATAAGGAGATAGCACCAAAATAATGATGTGCAACAGGACTGCTTAAGCCTGGGTCTTTACTCAAGCAGCCTGGCAGAGGATCAAATTGATAGACTGTGCTAGGATATATGAACTAGTTTTAGATTATAAAGGAAGCCTAATAAATGGCATTGARTATTTCCTCAATTTATTTTCTGTCTTTAAACTTGTAATATAATTATTAAGCCTTCACAAGTTTTAGGTCATAGTTGGAGGCTCTTCTAGAGGCCGCTTTAGTGAGATATTAGATGCTGCTGAATGTACGTCAGCATTGGGGCCCCTAGGACATGCAGGTGAGCTGTGTCCCAGCACAGAATGTTTGTTTTGGAGTCCCATCTGCCAGACTTCCATTTGTGCCTCTGTGTCCTGTGCTTGTGTTTCGCTTGAAGAGCTTCAGAAATGAAGATGACCAGCACTATTGTTTGTTACTTCTTCCTTGTATTGTCTTGGCTGTGGMGGCTCCTTCTCTGGAAATCTTCCAAACCTGCCTGGATGCCACCCTGTGCTCTGGGTGTCCCTGCTGGAGCAGGGGATTGGGCTGGATGATCTCTAGAGGTCCCTTCCAACCAAACATTCTGTGATTCTGTGATTCCTCCCCGTGCAATAAAGCTAAAATGGATGGGTATCTGAACAAGCTCTCAGAGGCTCTGGGAGCTTTGGATGACACCATTTTGGAAGCYAAACTGCCTAGCAGTCCAAGCAAAACTGTCTCTCTCTGGATAATGGCACCCAACCTTGGGGAGCAGGCCAGTAAATGATCAGTTTATAACGAGAATGTCAAACTTCCAAGCATAAGGTGAGTCCTCAGGTTTTTATCTAAATTTGTGGTTGATTTTTTCCTGATAGCACATTTGAATGGACGAGACCCTGCATTTTGTCTGTCTGTTCACTTTCTGACCACTTTCGGGTCACTCAAAGGCCTGTTTGTAGAGAATTGCCAAATGRGTCAGACACTGTCCTCAAAACATCTCCATCAGTGGCACTGGCTGGCAGAGCTGTCCCTTTGGTTGCCAGCTCTCATGTCTTTGCGTAAATGTGGGTCTCTGGCCTTCTCTGAAATACCCTTCTGTTTTAATCTACAGTGCAAACATGCAGATTGCCCGTTGAAGGTCTGTGGTGCAGTTGTCAGTCACTCACTGACTTTGGGAAACGCGGTGTCCGTGGCTGTTCTTGCTTGTATGAGTCTCTCAACACCGACACACCTCGTGAGGACTTGCCCTCTATCCCTATTTTAACTCTTAAGTTCTTAGCTGAACAAGGGCATTGGGGAGAAGAAAGCAAATCCAAAGAAGATCAGACCCACCCAGCACTCGATGCAGCACTCATAGCAGCATGGGGAAGAATGCCCAAGTCCAGTGGATATGAAAGTACTTGTACAGAGTGAAGTATATGGAGATGTTCCTTAGGATTCACACTGACTGTGCCTCCAAAAACAACAGTTGCTCCTGCATAGTTTACCATGCACCTTTCTTTTTTTCTGTGGGGTTGAGTGAGAGGCAAAATCTCACCAGAAGGTTTCAAATGGCTTTCATCATCTCTGTTTTATCTTTAACCTTGCAATCATGGCAACAGTTGGCAGGTAGCAAGTCATGTTCAGAGAAATCTGTTTAGAAAAGATAAAGTCAGGGTTTGTTTTTTTTAAACTTCAATCTCCATCTGAAATTTCACTTYGGACTATGCAATAGTTTGGAAAAAAATAGTTTTGTTTAAAATGCACGTTGACTGCTAGCTGTCAAATTACTCAAAATACAAACTATTTAAGCATTCAGATTTTGAATAATTGCATAAAGCATTTCATTGTGTTCAGTACAAGGTGAAAGGGGTGAGAAGCAAGAGTGGGATGCTTGTTTTCATTAAAAGCCTTTACTATAAAAGTAACTGCCAAGTTACTACTCCCATCTAACAGAAGGGATCTCAATTCGGTCTATTCATCCTCTCTTTCACTACTTTAGAGTGAAGACAGGGGCCTTCATATTTGTCTTTGTGCATTCAATATGCTTAATGCTCAGCCTTTTTAATTACACGGCTCTTCTATGAGTATTTTCATAAAGGTTTGCCCAAATCACAGTTGTTGAAGAGGAAAGTTACTCCTGTGTTGAGCTGCCAGAATTTATTTCAGATTTTCTGTGCCTTTGGTCTTAGGTCAATTGGTTTTGTGCCTACCAAACTTGCTGCTCTTGCGATGCATCCCCCACTCCATCCAATGAATAAATTCCTGATATTTTTGATTTGGGGTTTTTTTATTGTCAATAATCCAGTCTGATGCTGAGAAACAGTAAGTTACCTGCATAGTTCTACCAAAGTGAAGTGAAAGCATCCGCTGTGTCCTCTTCTGTGTAAAAGATCCTCTTCTTTCTTTGTCTCAACACCTGTAGCCCTTGAGTTTTGATGACTTGTCAGTAAGACAAGAAAGATCATTATATCAAAACCACCTTCTGTCTTAACCCTGGATGTTGCTGGTTTTAATGCCTTTTCCCAATTATTGCTGCCATCTCTACTCAGAAAAAGGTTGCTAGGAGTATAAGACAACAACTAAAGAGAAGAGATGTTCTGTCAAAATTTTCCTATTTAATGGCCTTGTCACCATCTCTTTTTGTCAGACCTGGGAAGCACCTACTTTTCTAATGAGGACATAGCTCTGAGCTCAGGACATCAGTATAATTTCCATAGCAATTTGATTCCAGCTTGGGTCTGTGCATTAAGGTCCTTGGTGTGATTCCAGCTTGGATCTGTGCATTAGGGTCCTTGTTGTGGCATAAGAAAAACACCTTTTGGCCACTATGTCATCCGTAATACCAAAATGTTCAAGGAATCTGGGCTGGTTTGTTACAAGGAGAATTTGAACACTGCCCAAGCTGTGTTTTATCAGAGCCAGGAGATTTTTCATCAGTACCAGTTGGGAAGGCTGAAGTAATTGTGATTTCTCTTCTGTAAGAAAATTACATCCCTCTGGCACCAAACTGTTTTCTCCCTTACTGTATCTGTGTAATAGTTTCCAGATTTCTTTGTGACAGATGGTTGGAGGACCCGCAGGAAGATGCAC